CACGAATTTCTGTGCCGTGTCACCTCCCTACAGTCCATTCATAAAAAAATGGGTCCTGGCTCTGGCGAGCTCCCGTATTTGGCGATTTTTCGTGATTTCATCGTACACAGTGCAGTGCTGCGAACTTTGAAATTTGAAAAAGGGTCCAAAAAGGGTGCCTGAACTGGGGTTCGAACCGCAGAATGCACTGTTGCAGGCGGGGTCAAACGGCCTGGATTTTGATGGTTTTTCCCAATTCAGTGCTATTGGGGCAAAACCTGGCCGAAATCCTATTCTTGCTATGGCTTGCTTTTTGGACAAAAAAACTTCAGAAACATAATTGGAAGAGGATTCCATATGGGATTGCAGAAAAAAATTCTAAAAAAACTCAACGTTTGACCCATTTATGGCCAAAAGCTAGAAGTTCATTTTTTTCTGAATGGACTGTAGTTTGAGTACGACTCCCTGGGCTGCAGGCTCGGGCAAGATGTATGGAATCGAGCATGAGTACGAGGACGAAAGTGCGGAATCGGAGCCCGACGCGCGCTAGCGCGGAGGGCTCCGATTCTAGCACTTGAGTCCGAGTACGAATGCTTTGATACCATTTCTGACATGCATTGCACGAACTACTTCGTAGATCTACTACTAGTACTACTACATGTAGTACTTCACACATACCTAGTACCTACTCAAGGCACGCACACTAGACCAGACAAGGAACACAACTAGTCGCCAGTTTAGTACTTCAGACATGTAACATAATGACTAATGTACACAGTCACAACACAGAGATAAAACAAGGGCGGTCTAGTCAGCTAAAAACCAGGTCAGTTCAGCTTCTCTTCTTCGCAGTGACTACAGCCTACAGCCTACAGGTGCAGGTGAACATTGCAGTTTGCAAAAAAAAAGCGGCCTCTGATGGCTGAATCGGAGCACGCCTAGGCGTGCTCCGATTCAATCGGAGCACGCCTGGGCGTGCTCCGATTGGAAAATCGGAGACCTGCAAGCGCTCACAGGTCTTCAGTGGCTGATTCAAAGCACGGCAAGTCGCGCTAGGATTCGCTGTTGCCATGTCGATTGTCATGTGACATGTCAGAATCAGCCTTCATGACCTCCTGAGCGTGCTTGATTACATTTAGAAAAGCGATCCTGTCAGCTTTTCTATTATTGTGTTCACATGGCAAGAAAAACGACACCGCTATGCTACGTAACTTTCTACGTAAGGTGCTCGGTATTTCACTTAGGCTACGTAAATCTCTACGTAAGGTGCTCGGTATTAGATCTACCAACGGGTGGAAGCCGCGTGCTGTGCACTGCACGGCAGACATTGTGTTGCAGTGCAGTCCGTGTTCGGATGTGCATGCGCAAGGAACTTCCTTCTTTGGAACTGCTTCTTGTATGAGCTGATTCGGATATTTCGACTCCTGGCCTGGCTTATTTCGTTTCGGCGCTGCTGAGACCTCCTTTCGCGGAATATTATGGCAGGTGAGTTGACCAGTTCCCTTTGATTCATTTGCTTGTGTTCACTCTTTCATTTACGAAAAGTGTGCTGATTTTGGGCGGAATGCAATAAATAATGGAAAAGCTGACAGGATCTCTTTTCTAAATAATTTAGCTTTTCCGCTGCCGAGGCCTCCTTTTACGGAATACTCGATGACAGGTGATCTCTGAGTTGACCGGTTTCCTTCGATTCATTTGCTTATGCTCACCCTTTCATTTACGGAAACGTGTGCTGATTTTATTCGGATTTAGATCCATTTTTATCTCTTTGCCCTTGTCTACAGTGTACGAAGAACGCGAGTTCACCTTCTTGACGGTAAGGCTTACCGGTATGTTAAATGTGTTGTCGAAATACTCATATTCATTGTACATCGGAACGTTACAAGTAAGGCACTGGTCAGTGGCATACTATCGTTGGCAGTTCCCAATCTGGAGGGAAAGGTTCAAGGACCCATTGACCGAGTTTGCAAAATAAATTCGCATATCAGGGAAAATCTCCATTGTGGAGAGGTTCAGTAAACTTGTTTGCTTCATACGAAACAAGCCAATGGGTGTAGTCTCGTCTCGTGAAGATCTCGTACTTGTATGATTGGATTTGTTTACTTGAGTCTGGGCTGTTTGATTTATTATTTGTGAGTACCGCCGAGATTGCACTGCCCCAAATAAAGTTTCGTGCCGCCAAAGCAAGAATTACGATCTGCAATCTGTTTGTAGTACCTGCAAGAATGTGCTGTACTGCCTGTACATGTATCGTACTTTCTCTGTTGCTGTTTCAGTTGCCGTCATGTTGCTAAAGAAACGTTCAGTAGAGAGGTTCTGCAAAACGAAAATTCGAACGAAGTTTCTCGACAGTCCTTGCGAAAGTGTGTACGAATTTTTGCACGAACTTTGCGTTCTGCACATTTTCGTAGTTTGCGCGGGCCAAGTGCACGTACGCCATGACCCGATCTCACGAAATGTCCTACGAGTACGACAGTTCATTTCGCGTTCCCTGCAAGTTTCGCGTCCAAAGTTGCGAAGTTTTGCACTTCATGGCAATGAACGAACCTTTTTACGCATTTTCGTTTTGCAGAACCTCTCTAGTGACTCATTTGTTTCATACGAGACGAGTCAATGAGTTGGTGTGGCTTAGAATCTTTTGCTGTAGAAGAAATCTATTCGTATGTCTATTGGAGAAATAATTGTATTCACTGGTTATAAAATAGGTTAAGACAAACTCACAGAATAAATACCATTGGTCCCTTGGTGTTCGTCCTAAAGAGGTTCGACTGGATATCATTCATACTCACCAAAAGATGTGTAAGATTTTATTATTATGGAGTGCCTTGTTTATCTCTCAGTACCTCCAACCATAGCCTCGCCCCTTTTATCCTCAGGATCGGGGTAGTTGTTGGAACGAGGTTACGTAATGTATTTGTTTACATTTTAATACATGTTTGTTGTTCCTCCTTTGCTGTGTTGTTTTAGAAAATCGTGGACTACCAGTTTGAAGTCATTGAACTACTTCCAAAAGTTGTGTCGACATCAACAGGATTACGATTTCAGTGCAATATGATGCAGTATGACCTTATCACGATAACCCATGATTATAAACCATTATAAACACAGAATCAACAAAAAACATCTGCGACAAGTACCTGGTTACATTTCTCAAATAAATCTGATCGAGGGTGGGGAAATCTGAAATATCTGAAAGGCAAGACAATTTTATGACAGAGTAATGAAATTCTGCTACAGCAACATGCACAGAATGACCTCCGTATAAAAAAAGTATCACCACTGTCCACCACTACTCACATGTATCCCCGCAGAAGAACATGCTAGTGCCATTTTCTGCAAGAAAAGGCTTGCACATCAATGCGTATGATACGGTGTAATTGACATGATGTGAAGGCCATCATTTACATAATTATTGATATAGGGCATTCCATTGGTGACAGAAAAAAACAAAAGAAATTATAGCAATAAAAACTGCTTTATGGCAGTTTTCTAAAAAAAGTTATTGTGTTCTAGTCCATGGACCCCGTCTAAAAAGTAAGAAATTAACGAAATGTGATAGCCCAAAATTAAAATTTCACACAAAACCTCACAATAATCACATACAGAATGAAAAGCTACATGCAGAAGACCTGTAAAAAGGCCCTTGGCCTGTGGGACTGCCGTATTCAAAATTTAATAATAAGACCTTTTCGCCTCGTGATCCTCTTTCCTATGCATGCATGACATGCATGTTGCCAATTGTTGTGCAGTACAAGTTTAGTGTTGAAAGCAGCATTTCAAGTGTTGTGATTATTGTGAGGTTTTGTGTGAAATTTTAATTTTCGGCTATCACATTTCGTTAATTTCTTACTTTTTAGACGGGGTCCATGGACTAGAACACAATAACTTTTTTTAGAAAACTGCCATAAAGCAGTTTTTATTGCTATTACGTATGGAATCGAGCATGAGTACGAGGACGAAAGTGCGGAATCGGAGCCCGACGCGCGCTAGCGCGGAGGGCTCCGATTCTAGCACTTGAGTCCGAGTACGAATGCTTTGATACCATTTCTGACATGCATTGCACGAACTACTTCGTAGATCTACTACTAGTACTACTACATGTAGTACTTCACACATACCTAGTACCTACTCAAGGCACGCACACTAGACCAGACAAGGAACACAACTAGTCGCCAGTTTAGTACTTCAGACATGTTACATAATGACTAATGTACACAGTCACAACACAGAGATAAAACAAGGGCGGTCTAGTCAGCTAAAAACCAGGTCAGTTCAGCTTCTCTTCTTCGCAGTGACTACAGCCTACAGCCTACAGGTGCAGGTGAACATTGCAGTTTGCAAAAAAAAAGCGGCCTCTGATGGCTGAATCGGAGCACGCCTAGGCGTGCTCCGATTCAATCGGAGCACGCCTGGGCGTGCTCCGATTGGAAAATCGGAGACCTGCAAGCGCTCACAGGTCTTCAGTGGCTGATTCAAAGCACGGCAAGTCGCGCTAGGATTCGCTGTTGCCATGTCGATTGTCATGTGACATGTCAGAAATCATGTTCGATACTGCTGAAATTTCTTTCTTCTCTCTCTATCTCGCCAAGCGGCATTTATCTCGTGCAAGCTAATTACTAGTAGTAGATCTACTTAGACATTAGGCTGTCCCAGCTTCACTGTCAGTTTCAAGCACAGCTTGCGTGTGGCCATTCTACTTTGGATCACAGTGTCTTTCAAAGCGTAGGATGAATGACGAGATCCCAGTACGCTCGTAATCCCTTGCACCTTGAAGAGTGAAGATCTGTCGTTGTAAGCAGCGTGGTCGTGAATCTGGTGTCTAAGCCGCTGAGCAGCTATGAAAGGGAATGGCCAGGTGTGTTGCCTATCGTGAAGATGAAACGGCGATTCACGGCCCAGGTTCAGTGACGGTGCTGGTCGTGTGTAACCATGCACAAGACATCGGGGTCTGCTGTTAGTAGTTGACGAAGTAGTTGTGCAGTGGACATCCGTCGGAGTATCGTACTACGTGTAGCGCCAGGTCATGTTGCTGCTGGTGGTGGACTGGAGTTTTGCCAGAGAAAGAAGTAGTTCACGTTGACCGTGCAGTCATCACATGCTGCAGTGCAGTCACGACGGAGTGTCATAGGACACAGTCGAGGCAATACTATTAGGAACTGATACTGCCCTGTGCCATGCAGGGGCGTAGCACCAGCTACGACTGGTACGACCATGGCCGTACCACTTTTCGAAAAGTGTGGTCCGTCCGGAACGTGCAAAACCGTAATAAAGAAATCAGGATCCATCGATGCATATATGCGCATCAGACTTTGACCTTTTTCTAGACTCGTACTCGTAGATCTGCCATGCATCTGTGCATGTCCTTGCACGTCTCTTCTGTCCGTGAAATAATTCTATGACTTTATAGACTGTGCCAGAAGTGTGCCAGAAGTTCCCAGAACGCAGGATTTTGTGTCTTCTTTACAACATTTTCCCGGGGTAGTTCCCCGGACCCCCCTCCAAAATGGCCTTCGCCCGCGCCGACCTTCGGTCGTACCACTTCCAAAACCCCTCCTACGCCCCTGCCATGCCTATGCCTGGAGCCTACACACAGGAACTCAAGTGTAGAGATCATGCAAAACTGTTTGCTGAAGAGCATAGCCTGGCATGCATATCACCAAGAGTACATGATCCCCAGTACATAACATCATTCTACTCTTGATGTTACATGTATGTGAGCTGCTGGTGTCGTCTCAAGTAGTTGGCGAGCGTGAACCATGCGTTAGTTTTCACCGCCTTGTGAGCTGACGTGGCCATACGTGCACGAGTACAGCATAACTGCTGCGTCTGGTTGAAGCACTTGTTCACGAGTTGTCTCACTTCCCTAGTCACTGTATCACCGTCTTTCATTATTATTTTCTAGCTGTAGGTACGTGAATAATTATTATAGTAAAAACTCACATTGCAACCACTGGACTTGCCACTGGACTTGCCACTGGACTTGCCACTGGACTTGCCACTGGACTTGCCACTGGACTTGCCACTGGACTTGCCACTGGACTTGCCACTGGACTTGCCACTGGACTTGCCACTGGACTTGCCACTGGACTTGCCACTGGACTTGCCACTGGACTTGCCACTGGACTTGCCACTGGACTTGCCACTGGACTTGCCGCTGGACTTGCCACTGGACTTGCCGCTGGACTTGCCGCTGGACTTGCCGCTGGACTTGCCGCTGGACTTGCCGCTGGACTTGCCGCTGGACTTGCCGCTGGACTTGCCGCTGGACTTGCCACTGGACTTGCCACTGGACTTGCCACTGGACTTGCCACTGGACTTGCCACTGGACTTGCCACTGGACTTGCCGCTGGACTTGCCGCTGGACTTGCCGCTGGACTTGCCGCTGGACTTGCCGCTGGACTTGCCGCTGGACTTGCCGCTGGACTTGCCGCTGGACTTGCCGCTGGACTTGCCGCTGGACTTGCCGCTGGACTTGCCACTGGACTTGCCACTGGACTTGCCACTGGACTTGCCACTGGACTTGCCACTGGACTTGCCACTGGACTTGCCACTGGACTTGCCACTGGACTTGCTGGACTTGCCGCTGGACTTGCCGCTGGACTTGCCACTGGACTTGCCACTGGACTTGCCACTGGACTTGCCACTGGACTTGCCACTGGACTTGCCACTGGACTTGCCGCTGGACTTGCCGCTGGACTTGCCGCTGGACTTGCCGCTGGACTTGCCGCTGGACTTGCCGCTGGACTTGCCGCTGGACTTGCCGCTGGACTTGCCGCTGGACTTGCCGCTGGACTTGCCGCTGGACTTGCCGCTGGACTTGCCACTGGACTTGCCACTGGACTTGCCACTGGACTTGCCACTGGACTTGCCACTGGACTTGCCACTGGACTTGCCACTGGACTTGCCACTGGACTTGCCACTGGACTTGCCACTGGACTTGCCACTGGACTTGCCACTGGACTTGCCACTGGACTTGCCACTGGACTTGCCACTGGACTTGCCACTGGACTTGCCACTGGACTTGCCACTGGACTTGCCACTGGACTTGCCACTGGACTTGCCACTGGACTTGCCACTGGACTTGCCACTGGACTTGCCACTGGACTTGCCACTGGACTTGCCACTGGACTTGCCACTGGACTTGCCACTGGACTTGCCACTGGACTTGCCTCTGGACTTGCCACTGGACTTGCCACTGGACTTGCCACTGGACTTGCCACTGGACTTGCCACTGGACTTGCCACTGGACTTGCCACTGGACTTGCCACTGGACTTGCCACTGGACTTGCCACTGGACTTGCCTCTGGACTTGCCACTGGACTTGCCACTGGACTTGCCACTGGACTTGCCACTGGACTTGCCACTGGAGCCCGGACCGTCTGTCCATTGCTTGGAACATGCGTCCCCGGTTGGTAATCGTGAACGAGCGTCAGGTTTAGGAAACACCCAACCTGAACGTGCTCTGTCTCTACTCTTTGTTAGTCGTGAGTATATTGTGTGAACATGCAGCCAGTCATATTGCCACACTGATTAGGTGTCTTGTGTGGTGAAGTCTCCCGGCGGGGAGTATGACTCAACGCCTGCTATTCAACAGTGCAGTGAAGTCTGAATGCAATGCATGGGGCACTGGACCATTGGACCGCAAACACGTCCATCCACCCGATGACCGGCGTGTGCAGAACACAGCATATGTGTCTACTTGGTCGCAATCTGCTATCGTCTGCGGCTCCGGCATTCATCTTGGAAGCTGTATTGGCTGGTGTTGTAACAATGCATGATGTTGAACACCGGGTTGCTCATGACTGTGCTCAGTTTAATTAGGTTCATAGCTAGTACATAGTACTCCCTCTAAATACATACCGTCCTGCTGCCATCTACTCCCATTCACTACCTACATGTATTCCTCGACTCAAGAAGTCACGTCCACAACCTGCAATACTGTAAAACCGGAAAGTCTAACGAGTCGCAATGTCTAGCGTTTTAATTACCAATTTTTCCCTTATTTGAAGAAACGTTATCGTGAACCCGGTTTGACATGTCTGTGTAAAGATGTGCAAACAGCCATGCATGTTCTTTCCGTCTTACAAACATCGTTAAACTTTCTGCACGGTATCATGCCAAAATTACAAAAATATTAAACTTTTTTGGAGACTTTACTTCTACCTGCAAACCCCAGAAACGGTCCTTCACTGTGATTCAAATGCGAGTGTTATGTATCGGTAGAAAGACTTTTCATGGCTCATTTTTGTTGTGGTCCTTTCGTTTATTTTGGTTTATTTTGCGTTCTGCTTTGACTCGTATTTGACTGGTTTTGGTTGCATGTATAGTTTGTACATGATCCAAGTAACGGTTACGTCATTGTCATACGTTGTGTTTTGTTGCGCGCATGCTTATATGCTGCCATAATGTTAGTCTTTTTCTTCAGTTATCAGTTTACCTCGTCGTGTCCGGTCTTCTTGTCTGTCCGTCTCCGTCTTGTCAAGAAATTAAGTAGAACTCTCAGTTCAGTTTCGTTGTTGTGTGTGGCGGGTCGGATGGGCAGGGAGGCTGGGCCCCTGACGCCTGGACAACATGTGCGCGTGCACAAAAGCGAGACTAGCCAGAACTCATTGTCGAGCCCCACGATCCACAGCACATAATCTTCCAAACAGGTACTGAGCCTGCCACTTGGCTTCTGCTCACTGAAGTGCCTAATTTCTGTGAAATAAAAAAGAGCCTCAGTTACGTGTAGAACTAGAGATGTTTCTGTGTCTGAGACGAGTTGTCGAAAAGTCATGATGAAGTAGTGGACAAACGCCATGTATAGGCACCCTAGTTACGGGTGCTCGTAGATCTACGCCGCGTTTGGCCGCACCATCATCGGGACTGTTGTAAGGGGCATGCAGAAATGTACGCAAGCGAAAAAGTAACTACCGATAGCCTTGGCAAGGCTACAAAACAACAGGCGAAGCTGGTACACAAACAAAACATCCAACCATCATTTTCAGAGTTCCACAAAACGCCAGATTCACTAGTCAACGCGGGCAGGTTTGTTTGCTACCCTCATTCCGATTCCGCGATGGGTACCGACTGCATTTCATGCCCATTCGGGGAATGACCGAACAAATGCAACCTTAAGCTTTCCATGTAAAAGTAGTGCTGGGTTGTAGGAAGTGGACTTACATAACTACGCCAGCAGGTCAATCTCCCCGGAAGAAGATACTTCTTCAATTGAGTAAACATGGGATTTCGTTGCGGGTGCAACAACTACAAATGGTCGTGCCACCTTGCATTTAGTCGTTGACCTTTGTGGTACCCTTTGGCTGACTGCAATTGTTGTTGTGGTTGTGTCTGGCTGGGCTGCAGCCTGTTGGTCATCACCACCTTCCTCCTCGGTGGTGTTGGGGGGGGGGGGCAGGATATCCATGGGGACTGTGACAGGAGAGTCCACAGGCAGTGTCCTGTTGAAGTGGAATTGATGACATCAATAAGTTCGATGTACTTGCACTTAAGAATGAACTCTAATTCTGACGCTCGTCATATAAAACCATTCTGCTCTATCATTTATTCTATGTAACTTCTACTCGCCATGGGTTTTGAGCCCACATGGATCCTTTCTCCATGTTCTCGTTTTATTGTTTTGTGCAGCTATGTTTGGGAGATTGTGGTAATGAGCATGCCATCAGTGTTGTGCTGACCAGATAAACTTCGTGTCTTTTCATTACTTTCTGGCCAGTGCTTCTTTTCTATTCTACTATAGGCTGTCGAAGTGCCTACGTCACGCTGCCTGAAAACTCGTAGTCACACGTAGTTACAAGCCCAAGTGGTAACAAACAAAAGTCGCGTCACCTGCACTTGTCGTGTTTCCAACGGTCACAGCATCACTTTGACTGGTCTTTGACCAACTCACTGTACAGACTGTCTGATCAACATGATCAACAGCAAATCGCATACGTACTGTCGCGGACATTGAAATACAGTCGATTGACCGGGGCCGGCGCCCTCAGCGCGTACATAACGTCGTCGTTGCATGCAGCGCACATGTTGATACGATGCGACCAGCAGCAGCGCGTAATAGTAATACCAGGGAGTCGCGGTCATACTGCATGCCATGGCGGCATGGCCAGCGCCCTGGGGCCGCTAGACATGCGACCGGATTTCCATGTCCACGACAGTACAATGTTATGTACATGACGTACTATGGTGTGGAGCAGACTGCGAGTCTGTGACAGACCCGTCGACGACCACTGATATCATTTACATGTACATGTACATGCATGACGGGTAGTTTTACTGTTGCAGCTACTTGTTGGGCAGAAGCGTCACCAGGTCACGTGGTCACGCTGACTGTTGAGTGTTGACTACCACTACGATTGGAAAAGCCATCCTTGCTGTCATTGGCGGAGACGTCCAAAAGGCCGCGGGAAGTCTTCAGTTGTGTGCTGGGCAGGAATGCGGGATCGAAGCCGCAGTTCACGCCATGCGACAAGTCTTCAACAGCAGCGAGTCTGAGTGTGTTCTCCTTGCGAATGCAACCAATGCCTTCAATAGTATCAACAGGGAAGTGTGCCTCCGCAATGTACAGCACCTCTGCCCAGCGTTGGCCCCAGTCGCCATCAATTGTTACCGCCACTCAGCCACCCTATATGTAGGTGGTGCGTCTATGCTCTCCAGTGAAGGTACCACCCAGGGTGATCCAATAGCGATGCCGCTGTACGCTATTGCCACCCTTCCTCTTTTGCAGGAAGTGGCATCCGAGGGTTCAACCCAAGCCTGGTATGCTGACGACTATGCGGCTGGTGGCAAGGTGAGGCCTATTTGCCAATGGTGGGATAGCCTTGCCGAGAAAGGGCCCTCTTTTGGGTACTTCCCCAATCCAGCGAAGTCTATCCTTCTCGTCAAGCCAGAGTTCCTGGATGAGGCACGCCGAGTTTTCCAGTCGACTGGCGTTCAGATCCGATCTGATGGCGTCCGATATCTGGGGTTGGTTGGTTGGTTTTTTATTATTTCAGTTCGTTGCCTCAACAGTACAGAGACGAACTAAAAGAGAAAATAAAACAGAGCAAAGAGGAAGATGCAACTGAAAGGAAAGGAAAACGGAGAAGGAATGTGGACTGGGGGGGGGGGGGGGGGGATTCATGAACCATTACTAGAGAGAAACGGAGAAGGAATGTGGACTGGGCGGATTCATGAACCATTACTAGAGCAGGGCAATGCGTGAACAGAAGGGGCAAGTCCGTCGATATTCATGTTTAAAAAATTCCAAGCCTTATTTTATTGGTGAAACACATTTTCAAAAAGGAGGGGATATAGGGATATAGTCAATTTGTCGTCATTTAGAGCGTGCAAAAGTTCTGTAGAAAATGATCTAATGTCCTCACTTCCTTTCAAGTAAGCAGGGAGGGCATTCCACATAAGGGATGCTCTGGAGGAAAAGGAATTGTACCCTACCATGGATTTATACAAGCAAATTGACATATTGTTTGTTGTAGTTCCACGAGTTGACCGCTTAGAGGTGGGCAAAGGTAAAAGACTGCGTAAGCATGATGCAGGCTGAACAATATGACAAATAAACGTAAACGTAAGAAATTGATAAATGTATTGGTATTCAAGGTGTTTTATTTGAAGAGAAGCAAGAAGGGGTGGTACAACAGCATGATATGAAGCACCGCAGGTAACTCGTACAGCTCTACGGAACAAGGTAAACAATCTCTCCCTGGACTGTGCTGATAGGTGAGATGCGTACAGGGAAACAATACTCAAAGTCGGGATGAATCACACTAAGCAGGTACTGGCGACGGGCAAATGCTGCCATTTGGCGGAAGGTGCGTCGCAACGCGCCTATCTTGCGTGACACCTTGCTGGTGAGGTGATCTACACTCACTTCCGCCAAGCTCAACAAGAACGGGTCTTTGTACGTCAGGAGCATTCTTCGGCAAGATCCTCATGACCACGGTTTTGTCAACATTAACGCTCATGCCCAGTGATCTTAGTTCATTGTGTATCTTAGCGAGAGCCGAGGACACGACATCGGCGCATACTATTGGATCTCGTGAGGACGCGTACAAAGTCTTGTCATCGGCAAACATGAGGAGCTTTGCACCGCTCCCTGCAGCCAGGTAGTCGCACATATAGGTTAAAAAGGGTGGGACCCAAGATTGTTTCCTGCGGAACCCCTCGGGTTACAGGGAGAAGAGATGATGTTCCAGAGGCTGTACATACACGCTGGTGCCGGCCGTTCAGGTAGGAAGCGAACCATTTCAGGGCAGAACTATGAATGCCTAAGCTGTGCAAAGTAAAGATAAGTTCCTGGTGCACAACTCGATCAAAGGCCTTGCTTTAAAAGTCAATAAATGCTACAACGGTTGTATGACCCACATCTCTAGCCAACGTCCAGTCATTTACAGCCAAGGTCATGACCTGCACTGTTGATTGCTGGGGCCGGAAGCCAAATTGATGATCGTGTAGACAAGTATACAGGTCGAAGTCCCGCAGCAGTTGGTCAAGGGCAAGACGTTCGAGCATTTTGCTGAGAATGCTCTTAAGCGACACTGGGCGATAGTTGGACGGAGAGGTGTGATCACCCTGCCGGGATTTAAGAATGGGGGTGATATTAGCGATTTTAAAAAGATGAGGGAAAGTCGAAGATTGAAGAGAAGTATTGAAGATGGCTGATATAGAAGGTGCAATAACATTGGATGTGGCCTTCAGGACACTGGGAAGAAGACAATCGGGTCCTGGTGCTTTGCTGCTGTCGAGGGAGGCAAGTCTTGCCCGGACGTCTGTTACAGTGACTTGCTTAAACATACCAAATGCAGATTGAGGCGGGGGTCCAGCTGGGATGTCGTACCTGGGGTTTGGATCACTGAGTCACTATCTTATGGAAGAAGGTGTT